TCGTCTGCTGCTAGTGTAGGAGTCATATCTCGGCTACCTGGCTCTACTCTATTTTTTTTTTTTGCTCTTTTGTTTTTGAAGTCCATGTGTGGCGAAAGTCTGAAAGGAAAGGCACGCAGTCAGAGGCCACGGACGTGACTGATGGCGCAGATTGTACTACGACGTGCTAGCAGCTAGGAGCATAGCCTACAATTGGATTCGAAGGAGATGATTCGAATCGATTCGCTCGCTGCCCCTTCTCCTTCCTCCACTTGCTCCGTGAGTCCGTGGGACGCAGCGCCGCACCGGTCGACGAGGCGAAGTCCTCAGTGGATGGAGACACGACGCACGCTTTAAATGCATGCTAGGCGCCAGGAATACATGGCGCCGAGCTCGACGCCAAGATCCGTGGCGTGGAGCTCGGCGCTATGTATTCTAGCATCGAGGTACCGGCCACGTCAATGTCACCTAAAATTTTCTGCAGTGTATGGCCAGACACCTCGACGCCAAGATCTGTGGCGTCGAGACGTGTTACCTCGGTGCCAGGACTTATGACGCCCTCTCCGGGGTCCAAAGATGAGTTTAAGTCTCTCGGGAGTCCAACTTAAATTTTGTTTGAAAAAATGACTAAATAGTAAAATATAAGGCGCGCGCCCCTTCAGCTTCACACACACACATCGTCACATCGACACTGGAATATACTTGTCGTTTTCACACAACTAGTATTGATTTGTACAGCGCAGAGCCACATGACAGCTTTACTTTTCAACAATCATGCATGGTGCTGTATATACTAGTACTGTAAGTTTTTTAGGACATGGAGGGAGTAGTAAACAAGTGCGACAAAGACCATGCAATGCGCATGCTTGGTGTGTTCTTTTTTCCCACGACCGTGCTGTGTTACATTAAGGGGCGTTTGGTTTGGCCTGTTAAAGTCTAGCAATTTTAGTCCTATTTAGTCACTTTTTATTCAAACACTATGACTAAATAGGACTAAAAGGTCATTTAGCCAACAAGTCACTAAGGGGTTGCTAAATTGGACTAAAAGGCCAAAAGTACAGGGGTGCCCCTCATCAATGCACTCCCTGGTCCCTGCCGCTATTCCTTTTCTCCCGTATCCTCTGCCCTTCCTCCCGTCGTGCCCTTCGCCGGCGCCCCTTCCCTTCCTCCTCAACCGCAACGGCGCCCCTTCCCTTCCTCCACCGTGACGGTGCCTCTCTCTCTCTTTCTCTCTCTCTCTCTCTCTCTCTCTCTCTCTCTCTCTCGGAGCAAGGGGCCGGCGGCAGCGAGCTCCTCCGCCTCCACCTCGGTGCCACCTCGGCGTCTCTACCTCGGGCGCGGCCGGACCCGGTGGAGGGCGCGAGCGAGGCAGATCCAGTGGAGGGCGAGGCCGGCGGCGCAGGCGCTGCGGATCCAGTGGAGGCGCCCGCCCCTCCGACAAGCTCCCTCCGTCGGCGAGCAGGTGGCGGATCAGGCGGGCGGGTGGCGGATCCGACGAGCTCCACCACTACGAGCTCCAGATCCGGTGGGCGGGTGGTGGATCAGGCGCTCGGACGCCCACAACTCCCGCTTGAGGCTGCGCAGGCCCTCGTCGGTGGGGAAGAAGACAGGTGCTGTGGGGGGTGTTTTGGTCATCCTACACATCATGGTGTCAGGTTTAGGCCCTTTTAGTCCACCCAACCAAACATGGGTGACTAAAGTTTAGCAGCTGCTTTAGTTGGCTAAAAATTAGTAGTTTGAACCAAACAAGCCCTAAGAGGTGTGCGTAGTGTGTGTTTTTTCCCTCGTGCACATTTTTCCCATTCAATGGAACTCAAGAATGCGGCAGATTGCCGGCCGGAATTCTTTCTCCTGCTCAACGCGTATAATCGCACAAAAAAGAGTTTACCATGAACACGTTTGATGATGACAAAACATCATAGTCTTGGTAAATCGGCTTAACCAGTTTCCTAAACTGGCTGAGATGTAGATTTGGTAACAGTATCGAATCATATATTAGACTTCATCGTTTGGTAGCTCTCATCTAGATAATCTAAATGCATATATAGAACATTTGGTTTTGAATCCGAAGTAGAGACTTAGTATAGCTACGAAAACGCCTATATCCATGAAACCTATTAGGTCCAAACCCGACATCACTATTAGAATCGGACTCGATAGAGAGTAATTAGCAGCGATGGAGCTGACTCGACAGTGATAGCTAGGAAGGTATCACTGTGGGGGGTCAAGGCTAGATCTTAGAGTGATGGGATGAGGGGTCACCGCATGTGAAGCCTCTACCCATCAATGAGAACATGATACTCGTTGCCGAGTCAATGGCTTCATTTCGAAATTTTGTTGATATATATTATTATTACATTAATAGACGTTACAGCATACTAATACTTTCTATTTGACATTTTTAATGCATCACATATATGGCCTTGGCGTCCCTGATCTTCGGATTCTTGGGTTCGCCCTCCGTCTACGTTTGGGAATGGATGAACGAGCGCGCGCGACATCAACTCGGTGCAGTCTTCCGTCGAGACCGGATAATAAGGTGGTCCGGGCAGATGTTTCAAACTTCTATATTTGTCACTTTTGGAGATGGCTCCTCGACGAGATTCTGCACTGATTCCTGGCTCCCTGATGGCCCAATCTCCTTTCACTTAGTGCTACCACATCAATATATTTTCTTTCCTCCTGCAAAGCTCGAAATTGGACGTATCATATCTGAAGTCCGGCAGAAAGTCCAGATAAATAAATATAACTAGTATTGTGACCTGCGTATCGAATAATAAGCTGGGATGGGCTCACATGTGCGCCAGCATGGTTAACACAAGATATATATACTACTATGTAGCTGTCTACAAAATAACTTATTCTATAGCCATTTTAAGTTACGATAATTACTATGTTAATTTATGAGATTATAGTAACTCCTTACTAAGTGGTTTACTATAACGTTATGGTAAATATCTCCATGTGTTACAGTAACCCAACTATCGTAAATATGTATTGACATTATCGTAAATTAGTATATAAAATTATCGTAAATAGAGATGGCTACAGAATAACTTATTTTTTAGCGGGCTACTGAATATATATATATATATATATATATATATATAGAACAACTATCCTGTAGCTGGCTACAAAATAACTTATTCTATAGCCACTTTGAGTTACGATAATTACTATGTTAATTTATGAGCTTATAGTAACTCCTTACTAAGTGATTTACTATAACGTTATGGTAAATATCCCCATGTGTTATAGTAACCCAACTATCGTAAATATGTATTGACATTATCGTAAATTAGTATATAAAATTATCGTAAATGGAGGTGGCTACAGAATAACTTATTTTGTAGCCGGCTACTGAATAGCCTCTCCCTATATATATATATATATATATATATATATATATATATATAATGCCGCTGCATGCATAGTGTACGCGCAGACCATCCTGCACATTTAATAGCCACCTCTATCGTTCCAGCATCATCCTCTTTCCTCCCTATATCCTAGTGGGAAGATTTAATTTGTACCTATATAAATATATAGCCATATACTACGGGCCGTTAGGTGAAAACAGCTCCCTGGACAGCTCGTGGAGCCGTTTTTGCGCTTCTTCAACCAAACGGGGATAAACAGCTCCGCTTCGCACTCGAAGTCACGGAATATGCGTTGAGAGAAGAGGAGAGAGAGAGGGTGGGAGTTGAAAAAAACGTACCTTCCACCGGCTCCGATTGCTCCCATGGGCCCGGCGCAGGGCAACGAGCGGATTTGTCCTCACTGGGCCGTGCGGGCGCCACCGAAGAGCGAGCGCTCGGGGGCGAGAGCCAGGCCACCGATCGCGGGGACGCTGTACGGGGCCGCCAGGATCACCAAGGGGCGCCGCCGTGCGAGCACTCAGAAGCGAGAGCTACACCGCCGGGTGCGGGAACGCCGGGCCCATGAAGCGCAAGGAAGATATACGAGACAATTTCCTGTGTGCCATTAAAAAAGATTACGATGTCGCTGTAATATCTGCGGAAAAGTTTAGCGGTCTTCAAGATTTCTTCTCTCAACTTTTTTTATATCTTTCAAATGTTACTTCCGTCAGTTTGAGCTCTAACATCGTCAAACTGCAGGTGTGAAAAGACGAAAATACCCTTAAGTCTAAACATGTTATTAATTTTTTTGAGCATTTTAACGATTTTAAATAAAAAACTCAAAACTAGAAAGTTGTAGATCTCCTCGAGATCTATAATTTTTATATAAAAATTATTTTCATTTAATTTGTAAAAAAATATGATTTTTCTAAGATATATTAATCATATGAAAATAATTTTTATATGAAAATTATAGATCTCGACGAGATCTACAACTTTCTAGTTTTGAGTTTTTTTTCATTTGAAGTCGTTAAGATGCTTAAAAAAATTAATAACATATTTAGACTTAAGGGTATTTTCATCTTTTTCACACCGCAGCTTGACTTTGTAATGATAGCCCAAACCGACGGAAGTGATATGGAGGACAAAAAAGTTGGAGTAGTGGTACCAAACACTGAACTTTTCCAGATAACATGTATTACGATCTTTTTTTTAATAAGCACACGTGAAATCCTCCGATGGGTGCCATGTGGGGCCACCGGGCGCGGGCCATCGAGGCTGCCAAGCGTGGGGGCAGAGGCCCTTCAGCGACCGTACGCGAGCGGCTAGGAGATGCCAAGAGGATGAGAGAAGAAACTGAAGAAGGGGGAGAGGAGAAGAAAATAAAAGAAAGGGGTAGTGTAGTCATTTTACCTTTTTCATCTATCGTGAGGTGCCGTTTACCAAAAGTTCCAGCAAAATAGCTTCCTTTTAATTCATCAGTGAACCTGTTCTACGGAGAAGCCAGAGAAGGAGCCGTTTTTTTTTTTTTTTTGATAGAGCTAGAGCTCTGCCAAGCCAAACAGGCCTACATGTGCATAGTATATATAGAGGTGCCAACGCAGGCATCTTCGGGCAATCCATCACACTTCGCCAAAAAACAGCAAGAGCTAGCTAGAAATGATGGCGTCGCAAGGGCTGGCAACAGTGGTGACGGTGAAGCTCGGCTCCTTGAGCTGGAACAACTACTCGAGCGGAGGAGGAGCACTCGGGCTTCTATCCCCTGCACAACCCAGGTACTCCTATATAGGAGTATTGTTGCCACTGAAATTTAATTAGCTTGGTTGGCTACTGCCTACTGGTTAGGTTAACACGCAAACGAACTGAACGTACTGATCGATTTCTTGGGCGGGTGCAATGCGCGGCGCCTGCTAGTGTGCACGCACTGCGTGCATGCTCATCATCCAGCTGCAGCAGAGGCGTGGCAGGGAGATTGAGCGCGGCTGCCTCATCAGCCACCTCGGCTCCGGTCGACAGCAGCTCGGAGTTGGAGTGGCCGCCGGTGCCGCGGGAGCAGGTGGAGGCCATCCGGTCGCTCAACGGGTGGGTGGCGGAGAACATGCTCCCGCTGCTCACGCCCGTGGAGTCCGCCTGGCAGCCGCACGACTACCTGCCGCGCTCCGCGGCGGCCGGCTCGGAGGTCAACAAGGCGTTCACGGAGGAGCTGGCCGAGCTGCGGGCCGCCGCGGCGTGCCTTCCTGACGACGTGCTCGTGTGCCTGGTGGGCAACATGGTGACGGAGGAGGCGCTGCCCACGTACCAGAGCATGTTCAACCGCACCGAGGGCGTCGGCGACGACACGGGGGCCAGCGCCCTCCCCTGGGCGCGCTGGCTGCGCGGCTGGACCGCCGAGGAGAACCGCCACGGCGACCTCCTCAACCGCTACCTCTACCTCACCGGCCGCGTCGACATGCGCCAGGTGGAGGTCACCATCCACCACCTCCTCCGCAACGGCATGGTACGTATACGTGCGTGCGCGTGCATGTTCATGTTCAAAATTAAACTGATTAAACGACTGATTAATAACCATGCATTCAAAAAATTAAAGGAAATGCTGATGCCCAAGAGCCCCTACCACAGCCTCATCTACGCCTCGTTCCAGGAGCGCGCCACCTTCATCTCGCACGGCCACACGGCGAGGCTCGCGGTGAAGCAAGGGGACCGCACGCTCTCCAAGATCTGCGGCGTGGTGGCCGCCGACGAGAGGCGGCACGAGGCCGCGTACACCAGGGCGAGCGCCGAGCTCTTCGACGTGGACCCGGACGGCATGGTGCGCGCGCTGGCCTACGTCATGCTCGGGAAGGTCACCATGCCGGGCCTGCTCATGTCGGACGGCCTCGGCGACGGCGACAGCCTGTTCGCGCGGTTCTCCGCGGTGGCGCAGCGCGCCGGCGTGTACACGGCGAGCGACTACGGCGACATGGTGGAGCACTTCGTGCGGCGGTGGCGGGTGGCGGACCTCGGGGGCCTGTCCGGCGAGGGCCGCCGCGCGCAGGAGTACGTGTGCGGACTGGCGCCCAAGATCCGGCGGATGGAGGAGCTGGCGCACCGGAGGGCGGCACGCGGGGAGCCCGTCATGGCCCGGTTCAGCTGGATCTTCAACAGGGCCGTAGTGGTGGGCTGAGCCTTTTCCTCAGGGAATAAACTCAGACTGTTCGTGGGCCGTGTGTTGTATCCATGCTTGCTTTCTTTTACCGATCGAGTATTGCTTGCATGAAGGTCATATAGACCGTTGTATCTACTCTGCTGTGTTGCCGTCTACTTCCTCAGTTTGAAAATGTAAGTCTGTCTGTCTTTTTCCTTACTACGTGAAACTTCTCTGACTTCCTTCAAATTGAAAGAGGGACAAGAAAAAATAGAAGAGGAGAAAGAGAGGTGAATGAGCCGGCCGGCCTCTATCCATTGGTCCTAGTGTTCATGTACAAACTCTTTTGACCCTTAGGGCGCCGCTAAGATACTTATTATCTACCATAATAATACAAAGATGCGGAAATCTTTTGCGTGATCGGAAAAAAAAACAAGGAACGGAGGGAGTACTTATATTCTTCCCTTCTACTATGTGAAATGGTTGAAGTTAACAACGAACAAAGACAATTACGTTTTCTTGTAGGCCGTGTAATAGCATGCTTGTAATTGTAAGATCATTTTTTCCCTAAGAAATAGCCAAATAGGAGAGGAAGGACCCTACTGATCTATTTTTTTTTAAAAAAAGTAGTACTACCAAAAATTACGCGTATGGTACATACAAAGAGAGAGAGAAAAGGAGCTGGACAAAAAAAAGGTCATCCTGACATCCTTCAATCTTAATCAAACCCAGCCTGATCTCTTTTGCAAGTTCCGTTCAGAGAAACGCCCGTGGGTACAGTTATAGCGAAGTGCATTCTCCAAGTTTGTCCAGGTGCTAAAGATGACGGCGATGCATTTTTTTTCTTCCTTTGGATGGCCAATGCTAGAATTGAGTTTTGAATGGCATTTATTTGTTGCTTCATAAGTTTGTAGTAAGTGATCTTATTCTCTTAGTCATAAGAGATGAAGTCGATTTTATTTTAATTATCTAAAAAATTCTATGTTTTCCCATATCCTCAAAAAAGTGAAGCCGCTTAGAGTGGATTTTTTTTCTTATAATAACTTAAGAGTGGGTTTGGGCTCGTCTTTATGATGTGTGATGTGCGGCCTGATTCTGGAACATCAACTCTATCCTGTAATAGCTGGTAACCCCAGCACCCTGTTTTTGGTCTCCATGAAGCTGGAAGAAGCCTTCTGTCCAAAAAAAATGTCTAAAGAGTAAAACTTTCATTAGCAAACAAAGTATTCTGATGGTGAATCCAGAATCATATATCTTAATGACAATATTGACTTACTTGCTTCTATCTAGGCCGATGATTGAATTTTCAAAACATTGACTTGTCGGAATTCCAAAACGAAATATATTTTAAATTCGATGGAGTATTTGAAAATATAGAGCCCCAAACGGGTTTAGAACCAAAAGACATTCCAGATGCCCTTTACATGAATTTTGATGGGAGCAGTCCAGCAGCACAGAAAATATCGGAAGCGTATGCGATATTATTTCTTCCTAAGAGCTTGTTTGGATGCTTATGTACATATCTCAATCCATGTGTGTTATGGTGGGTTGGTGGGTTATGTGTGAAACAATTAGCACAGAAAATTGAGGTGGATACATAGGCATCTAAACAAGCCCTAAATGTTTTAGATGGCATTTTAAGGATAGGAGTCGTTTTCCGTTTACCTATTTATGTTGACAAAAGGAGAGCATGGAAGTGATGCATTCCGAACTCCTTGGATGTCGCCATGACAAGACACGCTGAGTCCTGACAGTGATCTTACACCTGCATTCTGTGTCTGTAGGTAAAGGAGATAACCCAAATAGGAGTATATTGTACTCAAATAGCATACCAAATAATTAGGGATAAGACCGTGATTCCACATCATCGTCAAAACAGAAATAATCTTTCTTTTTTCCATGAATAGAAACCTATATAACATCAGAAACCGAGGGTTCTGAGAAGGGCTATGTTCTTACTTTCAGGCAATAGATAGCACTTTGTCGATATTTGTCTCAAATTTTTTTAGTGAAATTTATCTTATATATAGCTGCCATGCTATTTTTCAGACTTTACAAGAGTCTGGCATAGGGACACTGGATATAGTAAATTTCACATTTTTTTTCAGAGTCAACACACAAAACTTACAATGAACAACTGCATAATCTGTGAAATCATATGACATCGTAAAAGAAACTGGTCACTGAATGCTATGTGAAGATGAGCAACAATTTCAGGAGAAAAAACCTGTGAAATAACTGTTAGCACATGGAGTGGCAAGTGACATTTATTTCAGTTTTTCCAAGAGATAATATAGTTCAGTAGCATACATGCTCCAACAGGAAGGATAAAACAACCATGAACATGCTTTACATGTGTCAAATCCCAAAGGGGGAGGGGACTCTATTTCCAATCAAGCAAATCTAGAAGCCACAATATTTCATTCTCTGACCTTGCTGCGTCACAGAAATCTAGCTCAATACCAAACACCTCAATGACGTTTGCTCCTTTGTACAGGAAAAGCAATGACATCCATGCCCGAATGTCGGATATGAATGGGTGTCTGGGTGAAAACCTGAGATACTCATAAGCCAGAGCACGTGATGCATTACTGTCAATGTAATCAAATGTTGACTTATTTATGATGCAAGCCATCTTGTTCGAATCCTTGCGGTGGGCAAGAACAGATATAGTGATGGTTGGCCCCATGGGAATTGACAACTTGGGCTCCACTTCAAGCATCAGGATGCAGTCTTGGGAATTCAAATGTGCTGCAAGTATATCTGGAATGCCACGGGGAGGGCACTGTAGGCCTGCTCGGAGGGTGGAGCCTGAAACTGCTTGAGAAAAGATGAGTGATCCTTCAAGCCACATATCAATATAGAAAACAATATCCTTGAATGTGAGTCTTGGTACAGGAAGATTCTGCATCTCCCGTGGCTTGGAGAAGGTTAAATAAAGCCTTTTGTAGTTTGCGTCAGAAGGGGGCAGTTTGCAAATGGACGGCCACTTCCGTGAGCAAATGCATTTCCAGAAGTAATCATCCTTTGCGATTTCGCGCCATTGATGGCACACAAGCATGCAGAATACTAGATCTTTCCCATCCAATAATGGGAAAACAGACTTAAGAACTTCATCAGGAAATTCACTTGCCATTGCTATCCAAGAACTGAACGAAACTGAATGTCCTCTACACCTCCAGGAGGCAAGATTCTGGGGAAAGAAACAGAAGAAGCAATCAGACATGCCTCATTAAATTGTCAAAAGATACTAACTAATTCGTGAGCACCAAAAAAACAAGAGTAACAATACCCCTATGTTCAGTACTTCACTTTCACTGTAATACACTCATATTAATTGAACGAAGATGACAAACAGGGAAAAACATAGAAAGGCACTTCAGCAGTGCATGGAACAGCGGTTGCTGCTTTCGCCCTGTTCGTTTGGGCTGGTTCGGCTTATAAGTCATGGCTGAAAGTACTGTTGGCTGGTTTGGTGTGAGAGAAAAATACTGTCCGTTGGCTGATAAGCCATGACTTATAAGCCAAATACGACAAAGCGAACAGGCTGTTTATATATGTAGTCACGGTAAGAATAGCATCCAAATTCCATGAAAAGCAAGAATTTAGAGATGTAAGGTCAACAAGAAGTAATGGTTAATCACAATGGAGTATTCCAACCGTGGTGGGTGGGGTGACTGAGGGGGGGTTCAACTAGGGAATGCCTGAACCCCATCACCACAACTAGATGATAGGGACAGAGCACCAAATCAATATCCACTGACACAATGGAGGCATGGAGGTAGAAGTTCAACATCAAGGAAAAACTTGAAGTTATTAATATTGTTGAGGAATCATTCTCAGTATCACAAGATTATGCCCTTTTATAGAGTAAATAAATCAAATCTTCAAAAATCACTTCATTTTCCCTTTTGGGTGTGTGGTTAATCAGCAGATTTACTCTGAAGCACAGACCCTGCCGAAGAACACAAGCTCTTCACAGTTTCACACATCTTGACCCCAGTCATTAATTTCTAATAAATCATCATTTAGTAAGCATGGTACCTTTGAAAATAAAAAAGGGGAACGGTGCTTCAGAAAATGAGCATCACCATTCCCCTGAATTCATCAAACGAAACTATTGCATGGTGGGGAAACAAAAGTTAATTCAAACAAGACTCAAAGGTAGAGCAAGGGGTAGATTCACCAGTATGGTACAAATGTTGGATCCAGAATTCAGAAGATTTAACTTACAGATGATCCTCTATGTATGCAAAATATCCTAGTCTTCTCCAGGGGCGGACCTAGTAAAGCACTGTGCACCCAATAATTTGTGCAAAATAATCGAAGTTACTAGACATGTATTAGATCAGATCCGAATACAAATAGCCAAATAGCTTAAGTTAGGGTTCACGTGCTCAGTTTCGCACAGCAGGAACGGAAAGAAAAGGGTGCGCATACCTGGTGGTGGTTGGTGCTCGTCGCCGGCGAAGGACGCGACGAAGGCTGGCGAAGGGACCGTCAAAAATCCGGGCACCTAGGCGTAGGGCGTCGGCGGTCGCCCAGTAGCCGCACGAGAGAGAGCGCGCGCGCCGGATGGACGGCAGAAGAAAAGACTAAAAGCTGCAGTAGGCGGTAGCTACACGGATCCTGGTCCGTCCGGCGTAAATCAGGGCTGAAGTCCGAGTGTTTTGTTCAATTTGACTGATAGACCCGATTAATTTATAGTATTTTGTTAGCTTGGGTTTTGGAATGGCAAAACTTTTGCTCCTAATATTTTGCTGTAAACTTTTGTCATTTAAACTTTTGGTATTTAGTGTTTAGATGCATGGTAAAACTTTAGCCATGCAGACACAGCACGCGCTCTCAAGACGTTTTTTTGCCTAGTTTTTGACCTTTTGGGTCCCAAATAGCAAAAGTTTTACAGCTCAAGTTTTGCTGTGTTTTGCCTATGGTGTTTAGATCTATTTTGTCAAAAGATGAGATAAAACAGCAAAAGTTTTGGTCAAAATAGGGAACTAAACATGCCCTTCGTTTATAGAAACATAATAAAATTGGTT